GTTTCATATTGATTGACATTTCAAAAAATACTTCCGGATTCCTTTTTTTGAGTATTTGTTAGAGTGGTCATTATGTTGAAATACGTTTAGTGGCTTGCATAAAACTACACACCGTATCAAATACATCTCTGTGGCAATGTCCCAAAACGGAGGCATCGAAATTGGAACAGTTCCTGTGGTTAAACTGACACCGAGCTTCACAAACAGAATAGATAGTAGTCTTTTCCTAATTACTGCGTAGTTACGACATGACACAAAATAATGTTCGAGAGTTTCAGATTCTTGTTCGGCGCGAGCACCACTTGATGGACCGATGATTTCGGTACTTCCATAGTTGGAATACTTAGCGGGGATTAGATGTAGAAAATCTGCTATTTTACAGCTAAGTTGGAATATATCCCAAAATGGACAGAATACCATCACCTCAAATTTTCATGAAAACCTCCGTGGAGTAGTCGAAAAGAAGTTGAAGTCATTATCTTTGGTGCCGTGTCCTCCCATTAAATTCTTATCTACACAGAGATGGTCTGATGCTATCCCCCCTTTGTCCGTTCTGCGAAGAATCCGAAGCGCCGTTTTGATTTGCTTTGCTTTGCTTTCCTAGATACATGGCACGTACCCTGTTTGGGAGATTGGCCAAGAATGCAACGTACAGACTGTTAAATTAATTTAAAACCAAAAATAAAGAGACAAACGGCAATAATACGTGAAATATTCAATTTAACAACAAGTAATATGCTTTTGAGCCCTGTATTCCAGACTGCCGCAATAACCTGACGGAAATAATTTTGAAAACGTAAGTTTTAATTCAACGAAACGACGAAGAATTTTAAATACCAGGCTAAAATGGTACTCGTTGAGTAGCTTTAATGAAATAACACGCGGCATCAAATGCTTCCTTGTGGCAGTATCCCAAACCTGAGGCACCGAAGCTTAAAACATTTTCCTCCGGTAAGGTCACGCCTATTATTGTAAATGCAGTAATTAGATGTCGAGCTCTGATACGAGAATATCTTGCACTTCATTTTCGCATCATCGCCTTCATACCTTCTTCTTTATCGTCCCTATTATCATCATCAGCGTCCTCACGCAGCAGCTCCAGTCTCGTCAGAGCGGATTCAGAGCTGATGAATACGTTTCGGCATTTAGTACCATAAAACGTAATAAAACTGCATTTGCTATGGGTACCAGGCAACCGCGGATTATATTTGAACGAAATGGCGGACTCTTTAGCAGCAGTATCCCTGGGTGGGCCCACCATCCCAGTTTTGCCAGATACGGCTTACGTAACCGCGCTAAGGTTCCGAAATGCTTGCCTGCAATGGGGAAAAGGTAATTTGGATAAATTCAAAGATTTCGAGCATTTGAGCTATTGCTGGAATAAACAGTGGTGTGTATCTCGCCAGTTAGAGGTCACTTATACCAGATTGCGCTGTGCAGTTCCACAACTAAATTATTACCTTAATAAAGCTCAGCTCAAGGCGTCACCGCTATGCATTTGGTGCAACGAAATTGAAACGATTGAACATTTCTTTTTATTCTGTCATTGTTATTCTTATCAGAGAAAAAGATTTTTAGTAGCCCCATTACAAAAGCTAGGAATACAAGTAAATTTACCAGTAATTTTATCACTTGGCGGAACTTCATTTGGTTACTGCCACAGAAATGTATGCTCCGCTGTGTTTGATTACATCAACGCAACTAAAAGATTACCATGCTAGTGAACCACCACCTTTTCAGATCTTTAGTTTATAATTCGTAGTTATGTCTTTCAAAAACAAAAGATGGTTTGACCGCTTGCTCAGCCCACATTTTTGTTTTTTGGTAGTATTACTTTAAGCTACTTTTTCAGATTGGCTTCATTTTCAGTTTAGTTTCATTTAAGTATCCTGCCGCCCGGTTCTTGGCCCATCCCCCTTTGTGGGTAAGCACCATCCATCAGAGGTCATCAGCATCAGCATCAGCATCAGTCTCGTCATCGAACATCAGCACCGTTCTCCACAGGCGAAGCGGGGGTTCCTCAGCAATGAGCTACGTTGGACTTCGCGGCGCACTGCGCTCCGCCGTCGGCCGCTCGCCATCCGTGCCCACGGACCGGACCTGGAGTCGAAGTGCTGTAAGTCCGGGGCAGCAGCCGATGTTGATGTGACCCCACTAATTGTGAGCACCCACCACGGTGTTCTAGTGGTTATGGGGCTCGGTTGCTGACTCAAAGGTTGCGGGCTCCGATTGCGGTCGCGGCGGCCGCGTCTCGATGGATAACGTAATCGTTGGGGCGAAACGTTCCAAAAGAGAATACTATTATGAAAGACACCATAGTATTAATAATTGAAGGGGTTAAATGATATAACTATATGAAACGCTGTAGCGGATACCTTCGGGAATTTTTTTCCTCCTGGTGTTCTTTGACGTGCACATAAATCCGAGCACACGGGCCTCGAGCATTTTCACAGCCATCTAAGATGAGCCTGCCACTGCCGGAATTCGCTCCCGCGCCCTTCGGGCCATTTCCATAGCGGGGAATATTAGAGGCCAAGGTGCTTAAATTTAGGCGCGCTTTAGTGAACTCCTGGTGGTCGAAATGTCTCGAGCCCTCAACTACGGTGTTTCTCCTTATATTAATATCATGCTTTTGCAATGTAAAACCTCACAAGTTATTATTATTATTATTATTATTGTTATTATTATTATTATTATTATTATTATTATTATTATTATTATTATTATTATTATTATTATTATTATTATTATTATTATTTACGTGCTTATGACTCTCTCGGAAACATGTAACCGCGTTGACAGTTCACGCAGTGCAGCTGAAAATTTAAATACATGTTATGGTGTATTACGCACCAATACGATATGATTTCGAGGCAGATTGTAGAAGTTTACGGCGAGATAGTTTGGCTCGTCAAAAGGGCTAGGTTGGTTAGACTGATTAGTAGCACTTCATACAGTTTCTTGTCACGATGTGTTTTTACTATCCAGATTGGGACAGGTGGCACGATGACAACTGATAGCACGTATACTCGCAGTTGATTTATTCGTATATTTTGGTGGGAGATATAAACAGCGACAATCATATATGCGGATAAAAGCTGATTGACAGAAAACTGGCAAGGGAAAAAAGCGATTACAAACAAAGATAGTCGGCGCATTCGCGAGCCAGTTACACATAATGCAGATCTATCAGCGTGTGCCGTCTTCCAATAATTTGATTTCGTCTTGAGTTAACTATAAGGCAGACATGCTGGTACATTGGTCTGAAGTTGCTATAAATGAAAGTGCTTTTTATTTGCCCTGGCGCCTTTGTCATCACTGCCCTCGCCCACTTTCTGCCTCGCACAGTTGGAGAAAACAACTTTCATGGTAAATCACACACATTTGTGCAACCTGGGTATAAGGTAGTAGTGTATCGTATACCAATAGTTAGAAGCATACAACGGGCATACAAAATGATTCATCAAGGAACGTCTCCGCGAGCATCGATTTTTGAGCCAGCAATGGCAAGTCCTCTTCGTGCCAATATTTAAAAGAATAGTACGAATATTTAAATGACTCTAGACTCGTTCGTTTCATGGCTAACAGCAGCTGCAATAGATACTGCGCAGATGAGTCAAACGCAGCAGGGTTGATTGAATTTGCGAGTCGCCGACTAAAGACATAGTTCCATGCATGTTATCGGCCACGTTGTCTTCCAGCAATATCACCGACCATCTGGCTTATGACGCTAATATACAGAATGAGCGCTTTTTGGTGCAAGCATCTTGCACCAGTCTTTGAGGTAGAAATGCTGCCTCCTTCTAGGACTGTACGCGACTGTCTTGCCGGTGTTATAATCATTAGCCGTTCACAAAAGATAATTGTTAGCTCAAGAAAAACCTGCTATACCTGAATCAATTTACATAATTCCTCTATATAGTTTCTAACATGATACAGTAGTGAATCAGGTGGACCCCCCTAGGCCCTCTCACATCCAGTTTCTAACACGCAAGAATGTATACCATGATTCTGAACTCCTGTCCAGAAGCTTTTGGGCTTGCAACTATTCGATGGAGCAGTACGGTATCTGTGCGTGTAAATTAGTGCCGTGTAAATTGCAAACTAATTCAGCAAGCCATTTTTGTCGAGTGTTGTCAAGTTCATCTCCTGCTTGTAAACACTACTGCATTGGCCACTATTGTCAGAGCTGGACAGCAGTTAATATACGTTCGGATAATGAATGTTCTAGGTTGATAAAAACATCGCTTTGTTGCTGGTGGTCTCTCTACGTCTGCAACATTTTTTAACAGCTCTGTTTATGTGGTAAAGGAAGTACAGATAAGTTTTCCAACTGCCATATGAAAATCAAGGAATTCTTATCAGAAAATTGTATTGCCTGAACGCTGATTACCGCATATAATTGCAGCTGTGGATACAAGAAGACCCCCTTATCGTAAATTCTGTGAGTTTTAAATTACAGAAAGTAGCCATCCAATGAGACGTACATTATTCTGTAACAGTATAGTATTAACCAAAGTTGTCATGCGCTTGAAAAGGCCTTGTTGATATGTTACTCGTAACTTCGCTTCCATGGTTTTGCGGTTCGTCTCATTTCAGCCCGGTAAAGGCGTCACAAGCTGGCAGTATCACAAGTATTTATTGTCACTCGAAGCAATTACGTTGGAAGTTCAATGCTTAGACTGCTTTCTAGCATCAGCAGTAGAAATTTCGCGTTTCTCTGGCGCGGTACAGGACTACTTAAACATTGTCAGTTTATTGAACTTTATATTTACTAATGCTTCAGGTGAAATGAACGGCATTATTTTTAGCTGGAGTCGATACTATCACAAAACCTTGTGCAACAAAGTCCTACAGTGCACTTCTATCTGTCATTTCATTCTAATTTCCAGAGCTCCACCGATTCAGTTCTGTACAGTGACAGTGAAGACGAGTCTCTCGTCCTAACCTTTCCTTTCGTGAGCTGGACCTGTTGCCTGACCGTCCTGTTCGTTTCCATCATGGTCTCCATCTTCATGTTGGGCATAGCATTGACGCTAACAACCCCTGGTACGGCTGCTCCAGTGCGCGTCCGGAGGGCTGGCACGGACAACCTGACGTGTCCTAATAAGCGTTGCGACTGGCTGACACGCACGCTGTACGAATTTTCTCCAGACAGCGCACCGTGCGACGACTTCTACCGGCACGTGTGCCGCACGCGTGACGGCCGCTGGCTCAGTCGCACTAGTCACATGGACTTCGATGTCAACAGTGCAGTCTCGCGACTTCTCCAGAAACCGCTGTCACCAAAGATGCGTGGGACGGCGGCACAGAAGGCAGCCAGTCTCTACTCTGCGTGTACCAACTTATTGCGTCCGGACCAGTCCGAAATGAAGGACCTGCGCAAGTTCATGCACAACATGGGTTTGGATCTCTTCGCCATGGGTGACAAGTCGAAGAAAGACGCGGTCGACATCATGTGCGCTCTCTTCTTCCGATACGGCATCAACACGCTGTTGTCCTTCACGATGCACGACCTGATTACCGTCAACGGAAAGAAGCTCATTAGCGTGGGCTTCAGCCGCAACTTCGACGCCTGGATCGTGAAGCGTGAGAAGCTGATCACGGCGAGCAAAATCACTCACTTTTACGTGCACTACGTGAACGCCTACCACAACACCAGTCACAACGAAACGTGGGACGTGCTGTCGAAGGTGTCGGACGCAGACAACGTGGCCTGCTCCCTGCTGGCGTCCCTTCTGCGCAAGAGGGACGCAGCTCCCGTTCGCCTGAAAGTTCGGCGCTTGTCTCGCTACACGCAGTCGATGGTGTCCAGCCAGGAGTGGGTCGACGCCTTCAGTGTGCAGAGCCATTCCGCGTACACCGCGGACGACGTCGTGTACGCGAAGCCTGCGGCGCTCAGGTTCTTCGACGCCCTGCTCTCACGACTGGATCACGAGGGCGTCAAGTACGAGATGGCCTGGTGCCTGCTCAGGGACTATGGCTCGTACGCCGACAGACGGCTCGTCGACAGCCTCGCCAGACACAACCAGACGTGCCTGGAAAGAGTAGCGGCCGTCATGGGACCCGCGTTGTACGGCACCTACATCTTCAAGCACATCAGTTCGAAGTCCATCGAAACCGCCACCAACATGGCGCTCAAGATCCGCAGGCAGGCCGAGTTGGAAATCGCGAGGGTGACGTGGCTGGACGCGAAGACGAAACACCAGGCGCTGAAGAAGATACAGAACATCACGTTTCATATAGGCTTCCATAAAGGAATGCGTGCTATGGCAGACCTCGACAGCTACTACCTGAACTACCAGTCCGCACCGAAGCATTTCCTGCTAAGCTGGCTGCGCGCATCCAGGCTTACGCGATCGAAGCGGCTTGGAGACCAGAACATGCTGCTACCGCACCGCGAATTTCCGACGGCCGCCTACATTGGACAAGATAACGCTGTGTTTATATCAGCCGACCTCCTCCGACCACCCGTGTTCCTGCACGCAGGACCGGAGTCCTTCAACTATGGCGGCCTGGGACACATCATCGCCCACGAAATTTTTCACGCTTTTCTGATCTCGACAAAATTATTTAACGAGAATAAGACATACCACGGCGAAAGCGAACAGGGCACAATGCGGGACAAGATGCGGTGCCTGAGGAGCTCTTACGACGAGGCGCTAGAAGGCGCGTCGCTGCCATCATGCCGCCATTCGGACGCGGAGAACGTCGCCGATCTTGCCGGCGCAGCTTTGGCGTTCCGGACGTACGTCAACTTAAGCGCCCGCAACATGACGGCAGCGCAGCATAACTCGGAAGAACAGCGCCAAATGTTCTTCGTCGGTCTATGCCTCAAACTCTGTGAGCACGAAGAAAGCGACGCCTCACTATTCGCACCATCGCCCCTTCGGTGCGTGGTGCAACTGAAGAACATGCCCGAGTATTCGCGCGCGTTCCGCTGCCATGACGGCGACCCTATGAACGCTGCCACCAAGTGCTCTGTTATATGATTCAAGCTTCTATACAGATGCCCTGTGTTCGCTGTTTCTTATTTCCTTTTTTTAACGTTTAATACGTGTCATTATCGTGCTTAACATTTAAGATAACGTTCAAGTTATGCCGACCAATTATACATATAAAAACACGTTTTTTTTCTGTGTACTGCTTCTAAGAGCCTCTGGCACAAGACGTACAGTCATTCCCAACGCCCTAAACTGTGTCACCGGGGACTATGCTATGTCAAATTAGTCATTTACTGATTTTCTTCAACGTTCTTTCTTAGACGTCGAGTGCATGTTGAATCTGCAGATTCAATAGGAACCTTTGACAGCCAGCACCTATAGCTTTCCGCGATGTTTATCATGTAGTTTCTGAATTGTAGTTACATTAATCGATAAGCGTCGAAATGTAAACCGTTCGCGTGGTTCAAATTAACGACTCCGCTTGTATTTCCGGGAAAGCAACGTATGCCTGTATACGCACGTCTTCACGAAATGTTATACTTTCACCTTGAAATAGTTTATTTATTTATTTATTTATTTTACCCTCAGGGCCAAATGGCATTACAGAGGGGGGTGGGTTATTTACAATAAAATATTGAATTTAACAAAAAAAGCAGTGAATACGGTTAAATCGTACAAATAAATTTGGAAGAGCACAATGTTTGTTAATATGCTGTATAATAATACATGTTAGGTAATACAACAACAAGCCTAAATATACAATGTTAGCTGTTGCAACAAAACACAAAAAAAAAAGAACTTATTACACAATGTTAGCTAAAGCATCACGGAACAAATTGTTACCAGTAATAGCAACAATGTCACCGGGAAGTCTGTTCCACTCCTTTGATGAGCGAGGCAAAAAAGAATTGAAAAAAGTTTTTGTGTTGCATGAAGGGATGCCTACTTTGTGATGGTGGTCAATGCGGTGGGAAATGTGCTGTGGGCGAAGTAGTAGTTGAGCATGCAAGATGGGATGATGGTAGATCTTGTGAAATAGAGTTAGACGGGAGACTTTTCTGCGAGATGCTAAGGAAGGAAGTGCAAGTGAAGTTTTCATGGTTGAAATGCTAGCGGTTCTGTTATAATTGGACAATATAAAACGAACGGAGTTATTCTGAACAAGTTCAAGGGAAGTTACCAGGTTATTATAGGTAGGGTCCCACACGGTTGTAGCATATTCTAGTTTAGAGCGTATTAGTGTTTTATAAAGTAGCAGTTTTAAACCATGTGGAGCGTTAAAAAAGTTACGTCGTAAATAGCCAAGCATGCGGTTAGCATTGATAATGATGTATTCAATATGAGTTGTCCAGTTGAGGTTAGTTGTTATGTGAACTCCAAGATACTTATAAGAGTTAACAGAATCCAAAGGAATGTTATTAAGATAGTAAATAGGTGAAGTAGTGCAACTTCTTGATACACGCATGATTTTACACTTCTTAATGTTTAGGTCCATTAGCCATTTATCACACCAGTTAGATATAGCGTTAAGGTCAGACTGCAATATATTAATGTCATTATCGGTAGTAATTTCTCGAAAAATAACACAGTCGTCAGCAAATAGATGAATTTTTGATGATACAACTGATGACAGGTCATTAATATAAATGAGAAACAACAAGGGACCTAAGACGGACCCTTGCGGAACGCCAGAATGAACTTCGCGAAATGGAGAATTATGACAGTTGGCAGTAACGAATTGTGATCTGTTAGTGAGAAAGCATTCAATCCACATTAGTAGGTTACCGTCAAGGTTTAGTTGGTGTAGTTTGTAAAGTAGAAGTCTATGGCAAACCTTGTCAAAAGCTTTTGAAAAATCTAAAAAAATACAGTCAGCATGGGATGATTTATCAAGGATCTGATGTAAGTGATGGGTGAATGATATTAGCTGTGTTTCACATGAATATGTTTTACGGAAGCCATGTTGTGCTGACGTGAAAAATGAATTTGATTCTAAAAAATTGACTATGTTTGTAAATATTATATGCTCGAGCATTTTACAACAAATACTGGTTAAAGAAATGGGACGATAATTATTCGAAGAGTGTTTATTACCAGATTTATGGAGTGGAACGACTTTTCCGATTTTCCATTGACTAGGAATAGTAGAAGTATCTAGTGACTGTTGAAAAATTTTAGTAACTATAATGGAACTATAAGCGCTAGTATTTTTTAAAAATTTTGTGTTAATACCATCATAACCAGGAGATGAATCGTTCTTAAGTGATTCAATGAGACGTACAACTCCAAGAGTTTCGATAATCACGGATGACATGGGTGAATAATTGTGCAAGGTTGCGCTAGGTAAATCATTATGGCTATCTACGGAGAAGTTTTGGATAAAAGAATCGTTGAGAACAGAAGCGCAAAGGGCTTCACTAATTTCGTTACCGGATGAATCGATCAAGGAAATATGATTGTCAGATAGGGGGTTAATAACTCGCCAGAATTTTTTTGCATTTGTTTGTAACATAGACGGCAGGACTTGAGTGAGGAAGTTGTCTTTAGCGGATTTTAGTGCAGATATGTAGATGGATGATGCAGATTTGTAGGCAGCCCAGCGTGGGTGGTTAGTGGGTAAACATCTTGCTGCACGATAAAAACGTTTCTTTCGGTTAGATAAGCGTTTGATGTACGCGTTGTACCATGGCGCACGTGCGTTAGTTGTGATAGTACGGCAAGGGATATACTTATTGGTTAGTTGTTCAACTTCATCTGCAAACATATCCCAGTTACACTGCACTGAACGGGTATGAAAACTGCTTAGAAATATGTCTAGAAAAGTTGCTAGTTCACTGTTTATCTTGTCAAAGTTGGCTTTTTTATAGTCCCGTATCTTTTTCTTTTTTTTATCTCTATTAGGACAGGGTGCATTAAATGAAAATGAAAGTAAAGAATGGTCACTGATACCTGGTGCGTAGGTTATAGCGGTAACAAAGTCTGGTCGGTTTGTTAGTATCAGATCAAGAATGCTAGCACTGTTAGTAGTTGCCCTAGTCGGTAAGGCCACTACTTGCGTCAGGGAAAACGTTGAACATAGGTTAATGAATTCATTTGGTTGCGGCGAAGACGGTAAAGAGTAGGGTGCGTATGCGTTCCACATTATACTAGGAAAGTTAAAATCTCCGAGGAGAAACAGGGGATGTGATGGAAATCGTGTGCAAACTATATTAATTGCGTCGTGAAGTTCATCGACAAATGTTGAAGGTGAAGAGGGAGAACGATAGCATACACCTAATATTATCTTATGGTGTCCAATGGTTACTATAGCCCAGACTAGCTCTAGTTCAGTGTTAATATGAATACAGGAAGAAGGAGTGTCTTTTGAGACTGCCAGAAGAACGCCGCCTCCCCTGCGCACTGTCCGATCACAACGGTACATGTGAAAATTGGTTGCGTCATCAAAGATTTCTTGATCGCGGACATGCGCATGGAGCCAAGTTTCAGTCAATGCAACTATTTTTGCGCTACATGTATCAATAGCTGATGATAAAGAATTATATTTATTTAGTACACTTCTAACGTTAGAAAAAATGACAGATACCTGAAGATTTGATTTGTGGTCACCTCCCCTCGCGCAACCCTATGTAGTCGTGTTCACAGAAGAAGAAGCTCTCGCATTATTGACATAATTGGTACGTTTTTTCACCTCTAGAACTTTGTCGCACTCGGGAAAATACATGTAACATTTGTTATTTAGTAGTAACTTGTTGTAACGCAGCTTAAGTGGTGAAGAACCGGCCTGAGCTTTCCCAAAGTCAATAAGTTTTTTACGTGCCTGCCTCGTTGCCACAGAGAAATCTTCGCTTACTGAAATATTCTTATCTTTTAGTTGATTGCGCAGTGACAGCACTTTCTCTTTCGTTTTGAAGTCAGTGAACTTGGCGACGATGGGGCGGCACTTAGTGGGTGAAGGGTTACCCAAACGGTGCACCCTTTGAAATGACTCGCTGGAAAAACTGTCAAGAATAGCAGAAATAGAATTCGTCAATTTCGCCTCGGTTTCTTGCCACGTTTCTCTAGAGTCTGGAACACCATGAAAGATTAAATTGTCCCTTCTGGACCTGTCCTCTAGCTCGGTTAGTCTAGATTGCACGTGGTTATTCTCGTCGGTTAGTTCTTCTACGGCTTTTTGCACACTTGCTAATTCTTCAGTCATAGTATCCAGTTTGATCGATTTTTCTTCCAATTCGTCAAGCCGCTTCCGGATACCAGTAATTTCAACGTGAATGTTTTTTTGTCCGGCTTTAATTGCTTTTACATCAATAGCAAGCTCAGACTGACACTGTGAGCTCTGTAACGAACGCGAGTGCACGTCTTTCAACATATGGAATAAGACATTCATTTGTTCGGCAGGGTTTTCGGGTAACTCTTGAAATTCTTGTTGTGTTGTGGCACGGGTATTGGGTCCAGGGTTAGTCTCAATGTCGCCGGAACAAAGCAAGGTGTGAGCCATTGAAAAACATTCACACAGAGTCTCGCACAACACCCGTGGGCACGGGAACAGCAGTAGACAGCGGTTGTCAGATTTTTTAGCGTGTAGTAAAGGAGTACACACCTGCATGGTGAAGAAATAGCGGCTTAGAGCTGTGCAGAGACCACTGCTCTCGTGCCCACTGAAGGCGGTGTCCAGGTGTTGCTTCTTAAAACTGTCGGTGGCGATTGCTGCTGTCGTCGATGGGGCTGGTGGATACTCAAAGAGCACCCAAGGGGCGTCAGAGCTCGGCATGTGTTGATCGGCTACGCTGACGAGGTTCGTTGTCGGTAGCGGCGCACCTACATGCGCCAAGCCAGCAGAGCAAATTGATAACCACGGCAGGATGTTCGCAAAGAAGGCCTGCATGGTGAAGAAATAGCGGCTTAGAGCTGTGCAGAGACCACTGCTCTCGTGCCCAGTTGTTAATGACATGAATATTAAGGCACCGTTTTCCCAATTTTTATGTCGCTTGATTAATATATGAAGTTTAACGTCCCAAAACCACCATGTGATTATGAGAGACACCGTAGTG